ATATTTTTATTAGGGCTGTAATTCAGGCATAATTGAATTTATTAATTATGCAAAATAACAAACACGGAAATATACAAATTTTTATGAGTAATTAAAATAAAAATATATTAAACTATAAACCTAAATGAATTAAAATTGCCATGGTCATTTGCAACTTAGTCGTTAATAACAGACTACAATATATTTTATTAATTTTATATTAAAATATGCAGCTAATAATTAGATTTATTTTTTAGTAAGAATAAAAATGCAAGTAAATTACTTACATTATTCCTAGCATTTATAATTCCTATAATAAATTACTACATAAAGAATTTTGTTTGATAATAATACATTTGTTAGAAATAATACCTTTATTAATATTAAATTTTTTTTACCTAAACATAATACAATTTTCTGCTACAAATTCTATGCACCCAAATGAAAAAGCAAGGAAATGAAATTAAATTGTTTTAATTCAATTTTTTCCTAAATATAGAATCACGACTACCTGGAATGAATATTCGTTTTCAGTCTAATTCACTTTTACATTTATTTTAGAATTTATTACATTATTGCGGTATGCATAAAATTAAAATTTATGAAAACAATATGTTTTTCTATATTTAGAACACCTTATTATCCTTGTTACGTTTGTTCAGTTGCTTCATTCTTTCTAGGAAAAATATGTATTTATATATATTTATTCACTTAATGAGAACTTTTGTTATAACAGATCATAATAAGCAATTTATTGTTAATTTAATACAAAATAATGAGCATTTACAAACTAACCCCGAGCGGTATAAAAATGAAGATAAAAGATTTAAATATATTTATATATATGAATAGAGTAATGAGATCGCAATAAAAATTGATATTTTTAGAGTTTATTTTAAATACAAATGTTCAGCCACAATAGTTTTAAAGCAAATATCGTTTAAATTTTAGAGAAACTAACCTTTATTTTTACTAGCATGTGTCACATGTTAGTTTTAGGCCATATACTGTAATTAAAATTATTCATTTATAAGGAAAACCAAACGAATTATATCGAACTAAATCACACATATCAAACAAACAACTATCTGACTATGTTTAGTAAAACTCCCAGATAATTCATCATTGTAAAAATATATATTTTTTTGCTCAAAAATTTGTCACTTGGTCCTTTTTACCCTAAATGCTATGTTAAAAGAAAGAGCCACCGGTCAAACAGATACAATGTCCTATTTTTAAGTTTTGAAGGCATTTTACGAAATAATAGCTATATTATTCAACCAATGAAAAAAATAAAAATTTCATGGGTACATTTTTACAGAGATAACACTGTATACAACTCTGATCTAGTTGAACATAATGAAATCCTCTAAATCACCACTTGGGTGATTAATTTATAAAATTCCCTACGTTTTCAATTTGCTTGCTAGTTGGAATTTTACAAAATTGAATATTAAGTAGCAAACGTCTGCAACGACTTCAGTCCCTGTGATTAGCACTAGTCTTAAGGATAAGTATAAGAGCTAAGTGCAAACCCTCTCATTAGGCGCCGAAATATATTATCTGCTTAAAATATGCGAGCGATGAATACATAATAAAGGACTCGTCTGCCTCTCTAGTACTTCAGGCATGTTTATTTTATCTTGCCAATACGAAGTCATTAATTACGAGCTCAGACGTCGAATATATTACTACGCTGATGCTAATTATTAGTTTTGTTCGAGACAACTGTAGGTAAACAATTTATTTTTATGATAATCATTGTGCTTATTCGTGGATCATTTGACAAAAGCTCTGGCCTTGCATCCACAAGGTTCCAGGTTCAATTTCCGCTTTGGATAATCTGATAGAAATCAATTCAAGTGATAACTGTTTTCACTTGGAATATAGATCTAAATATAATTTTCAGTGAAAGTAGCCATTCGTGGTGGTGCTGCAATATCACAATTAGAAACATCGACCATTGTCTTATTTCTATATTAGTAGCATTTAGAAATTAAATTCAAATTTCAGTAAGAACTGTGATTCGATTTTCTTCTAAAAGCCTTCGAAAAAGTCATAAACTTCGTAATAATGGTCGTTTGTTAAAAACTCTCTCAAAAAAAAATTTTTTTTGTCAATTTAGATTATTTTTGTATTTTATGGACTATTGATTTAAAACATAATGTAGTCAAATAATCAATAAGAAACAAATAGTTTCATGTAATGTAAACTAAAGTTTTCTGAATTGACTCTTCATCCGTATATCAAAAAGCATTTTTGTACATTCATGCAAATGCCACATTAAAATGCAAATAGCACAATTAAATTTATTATCAAAATTAAATTCACACTGTTAATGAGAATAACTACAACCTCAGTGCATTAAGATTATCTAAAATAATAAAAAAAACTAGTCATATATATAGTAGATTGATACTTAAAACTCCGCGAGTATAAAGGTCCACCACCGATATCTCAGAAACAAGAAAATTAAATAATTTTTTAACAAAGGTATTTGTTGGATGAAATCTCTTAAAAATTAAAAATACGACATTGAATCTGTTTGCTCCTTGGCCCTCCCATTTTACCTCGCCTATGGGCTAAAAAGAAACAGGTGATAATTTTTTGATAAAAAGCAGTGATAAATTAGCTGGGAGTTTCACTGAGTTGTTTATTTGATATGTCAGGTTTGTTTATGTATTTTTTTTAATTTTAACTCTGTTTTATTCAGCAATCAGAAATATATAAGAATTCCTATAAGCTAAATTGACAATATTTAAGAGCGATGTCTAAGAAGAACTCCAATGAGATCTTCTTAGTTTAACAATCAAAAAGATAATGATATATTGAAGCTAATCTAAGACTAAATCTAAAGGCCATTGACGTTTCAATTTTCTAATGCCAAATGGTTGGATAATGTCACCTATTGATGGGTTTGAATGTGATTCTAGTTTACGTTTGTATTTTTCCTTAAATTCTTTGAACGTTAATTGCACCGTTTTCATGTTGAGATCAGTTCTCTGCATTATAGCTATATTTGATCTGTAGGCACATCCCCAGAGCTCAACTCCGCAGGTCCAGATTGATTTAATGATTGATTTATATATCAGCAACTTATTTTCAACAGAGAGCGATATAATTGGTTGATTTTTCACAATATAATTGCTCAAAATCGAATTATACCTTTGTACGCCCTACTTTACCTCATAATTATTAATCGTAATATTATGAACAAAAAAAAGTACGGCAAATTGCAAAAAAGAACTTATGCAATAACTCATACTTTTATATAAAAAATGAAATTAATTGTATTAAAAGAACGATTTGAATTTCTTTATGCTTCCCGGTACAGCACATTTATCAAAATGGTAGGTTCAACGAATTTATTACAGGTGAAAAGTGTAGAAAACAGCGATAAAAAATCCGCCGTAAAAAAACTTCGCTATATCCAGTACATCGTAATTCTTCTCGTGGAGATAATGCATCATCGACGATATTATCTAATTTCCTTCTGACGCGTTTATGAGTCCAGGTAGTACCCAGGTATCTTTCCGGACAGATTTAACAAAATGCGTGATGTAATGCAAAGTTGGAGATGAATAATATAAGTATTCATTTCCCAAGAGGAGCAGTTGAGATTTTACTAACCAAAGTTATTTCTCGTTTTATACGGAAGTTCGTGAGCGGCATAATCAAGCACTCAAATTTCAAGGAGAGAATGAATATCAACTTAATATTTCATAAAGCTTTTTGCATCTTTAGCATATAAATTTTGTTCGCTTCTCTTGGACGTTATAATATATTTCTGCTATCCGATATTGGTGATGGGTGGTAAACTCTTATATACATTTGAGTAATATTCTTAGAATTTGGAAATAAAAATTGAATTTACGATTTCGAAGTATTTGTTGAAAATAATGTAACAGTATTTACTTGATTTGATGACAGCAATTATTATGTTATTGATAAAATAGTAATTTAACACTTTGATAACTAAAAAGTATTTATGTCATTTTGTTTTCAAGTAATATTTCGTAGACATAGAATATAATTAATTTTTAACTTCCCGTAGGGTAAAATGAATGTGCTGATTAGTTTTTGGCAAAGGCAGGTCTACCCGCTACGGAGATACGAAGCAAAGAGTGCATAAAATTTTATTTCAATTTCTTTTTCGATTTTTTTGTATCGAAAATAATTCAGATTTTAATTTTATTTCTGGCTAAAGTTCTAAAGCTCACTTATATATTTTGAATGAATAATTTTACTTTGTAATTCAGTTTATATAATTTTTTTAATATTAGACATGGTTACAGTATTAATATTAAACTAATTTATTTGAGAACATTTAATATTCTTCGAACATTTCGTTACGGTACGGGAAGTTCCAGCAATTTGCCTTAAGACACGATGCCATACATCACTAGTTAAAAATTAAAATCAATCTAAGTGTGGAGAGCCACATAATAAATAAATTTCATTATAAGTTAAAAAATCTAATTGAGTAAGTCATTTTAGAGTTGAGTGATGTTTATGTTTAAAAGCTTATGGAATTTATCAGATTACTTTTGTCAGCTTAAAAAACGAGTATGATTTTTAATATTGAGTTTTATTTAAAATTATTGATTTCTAATTTATTTAAAATGATTGACTTCTACTTTACTTTTATTAAAATGTACTTAAAAATACAATAATATAATTTAAGCTACAGAAAAAAGAAACTTTAATTAATAGTGTGCATTGTTTATATGTTCTTATTTATGGTTTTTATCATTAATTTGCATTAGTGCATTTTATTTTTATTTTTTAGAA